CGAGTCCCTGCTGCCCCCCCCCCCCCCGGCTGAATGGGGAGCTCTGTTTCCCAGTACAGCCGTTCCTTATCTGGTCTGCACTCCTGCTCCCTCGGATGCTCAATGGGGAGATTTGTCCAAAGAAATGGGTCAAACAATGCAGAGAAGCGCACGGGGCGAAAGCGGCGTCAGATGCTCCGCATCGGTTCGAGGAGGAGCTGGGGCGAGAGGTGGCTGCCGGCACGAGCGATAAAGGAGCCCTTGTTCCCCGGGGTGAGGACGTAGCCGGGGCCACGGACGCGCTGGGGGGGTGCGGGTGGGTGCTCGAGCCCCTGCCTTGGCTCTGCAGCTCTCGCTGCTGTCTCGACGCCTTCGTCAGAGATCAAGAATTGGGTCTGCCTGGCCGGTGGCAGAACGTGTGTTGATGACGAAGTGCTGTGGTAAATTCTGTTGTTTGCAGGATAAGAGGAAATAATAATTGCACTCTTTAATCAAACTGCTTTGACCTCAAGCTGACAATTTCAAAGTCTTACAGCTGATCCTAAGCACCTCAACATTTTAGCCAATGAGTGTGTTTTAAGAGCTATGCACCTTTCAGGATAAAGGAAATACGAAAATATTTTCAGACATGCCAAATTTCAAAATTACTTTTTTTTTTTTTAAGTCCAGTTCCACTTTAATATTGCTTCTGATTTGAAGCTTGCTTCTCATTTAAATAACATTATCTTTTAGCTTCTCATGATACCGGAGACTTTAGCATCATTTCTGCTATGAGCTGACTTTCTTCTGATGCTGAGAGCTTATCATACTGTAAACACGAGTCCGACATTCAGTGTGATAAAATACTCAAGGATCCCAACACAATAACTGAGGCCTTTGCACCAGCACGCTCTCAAAATTACGATTTGAGTTTATTTTTTTAAACGCAAAGGTGCCCTGATTTGCACTAGGAATCCCTGCAGCTCGCACTGACGCAGCCCTTCGGAAAGCCCAGCCGTGTCCGTACGTGGTGCAGGGAGACGATGGCTTTGGAGCTGTGCAGTTTGCTGCCCTGGGTTTCTGCAGTTGCAAGCCGCCTTTGGCACCACGCGCTGCTCTTGCTTCACTGGATTTCGGGTTACACAGCGGCGTGCATCCACACCATTGTCTTCTGCTGGAGAGATGCAGAGAGTGAGGGCTTTGCCCCGAGAAGCGTTCATGCTCGACGTAATTCAGTTATTAATCCTGTCACAATTAACACAACTGTTAGCCTGGGACAGATGAGACATGGTCACGCCTTTAGCAATGACTTGGTCGAGGTGACTGGCAGCTTATCTGCATAAAATTTGCCATCGTGTGGAATATTATTAGTGCAAATCGTTGGAAGTGAGCAAAAAAAATGCCAGGGTACCTGGGGAGCGGGTTGTTTGCCACACGCTGTTGTGACACCAACAAGATGCTGATTTCAGCAAAGAACGTTGGGTTGGTTTTTAAGATTTCTGATTAAACAGCTTCTGAAGAAAAACTACTTAACAGTCAAAAAAATGGGAGTGCGCTGAATTTAGCGCTCGTGGAAGGAAGTTACTAGGTCCCCTTCCTGGAAGGTGTTTTCTTCTGATGAAAACAGGGTGAAATCAAGTGAAGTCAGGGGAATTGGAAAGAATTTGGTTCCAGAAAGGCACAAGGGGGATGGACGGGCTTTTGCGTGGGCTCAAAAGCAGGACAAAGTCAAGAGGCAAGACGCACTGAGGTGTTGGAGCAAGGGAGAAGGCAGGCTCGGGATGGCCGGGTGGGCGATGCTGAGGGATGCTTGCCTGGGACCTGAGGCCAGCAATCCCAGCTGAGTGTGTTCACCACGTGTTTTCTTTATGTGGTCTATAGGTGTGGTACCTCAGCCCATGACAAACGGATCCGCACAGACTCAGGTGAGTACTTGCCTGCTCCAGGATGCCCCGATGGCCGGGGTGACTGGGCAGCATCCCGGGTTAGCTCAGTTGAGGGGAATGTGTCGGAGTGATCAAGAGGGATCGGGGGTGAGAGGCCAGGCTCCTGGCATGCCGGCTTTCCTTGGCTCCCACCTGTGACACATGAGCCTGTCGGGGCCGGCAGAGCGGAGAGGGATGCTCATAATGTCCCCAAGGCTCGTTTAGCTCCATAAAATCGGCCAGCTTAACTGCTGCTGGCTGATTTTAATTGCTTCCTGCTGCAGCTTTAATTTAGGGGTTGAACAGGGCTGGCTTCAGCCCCATTTAATCACTGTTCCCGGTGACGGAGGGAGGAGGTGAGCGGCTGCCCGGCGCTGGCAGGACGGGAGGGCAGCGGCTCTGCCGGCAAATCCCAGGGAACTCCCGTGTGTGCACGTGCGTGTGTGCGCACACGTGTGTGCCTGCAGGGTCCCTTCGGCAGGACCCTCCCCTCCGGCCTCTGTTCCTGGCCCTGGACAAGCCAGGCGTTGCTCTCTGCCTGGCGGGGCGGCTGGGATGTCTGTTCCCACCAGGCTGGAGCGTTCTTCTGCCTAAGCTTCCCCCCCCCCTCCTAATTCTGCCTTTGTGCAAACTGGACTAACGCTTTAATTTCCACTAGCTGAATGGAGGATCCACATCTTCATCTCACAGTGACCTTCAAAGTCCAGGAAAGGAATCAGAGGTAAAAACCCCAAACATTCCCCCTCCCCTTTACATACTATTGTAGGTACATACTTGCCTTATGGTACTGCGTAACAATGCCTTTCAATGCATTTTCAGTTTTATCTCGCAGACTTAGGTACACTTGTATCCATCCAGCAAGCAAAATACAGAGTTTTCTTTCATCCCTTGCACTGTAGATGTGCATGAAATGAAGCCGTGAGCTGTCAGCAGCTGCTGGTTCCAGCGCAGCGGTGGCCGCGTTTCTGGGATAACTCCTTCAAGTGCCTGGTTAAGGGCTCGGGACCCTCGGGGTGACGTGTGCTGTAGCAGCACGAGCTGCTGTCACAGAGATGTACATGCAAAGATGTGCATCTGTAAACTGCCTTTGCAAACTGCCCCCTGCAAACCAGCGTCTGAGAGATGCAACAGCGTAAATGCGAATTAAATCCCATCGTGTTCTGCCTTCCTTCCCTTCTGCCTTCAGATGGGCAGGAGCTAAAACACGCAGGGTTTGATTAAATAGAGTTTAAGGAGACTGCGTGAGGTTTGGGTTACTTGACCGTGTCTGTCCCCTGCCAGCGAGCCGCTGGCTCCACAGGCCAAGTCCGGGCTGCAAATTCTTTCCCCTCTTTGTCCAGGGGACAGAAAAGCTCGTGGGGGTCTCGTGGCCTCTGCCAGCAGCAGCAGATGTCCCCTATTAACGGACGAGTTTTGCAAGGGTGCGGATGGATGCGTGCTCCGTTCCCCAGGCGAGCCCCTGGCTCTGGGAGGACTTGCACGCGCTTGTCCCTTCGGGCATCGTGGCCTCGGGGAGGAGGTGGCACTGCCCCGAACTGAGCAGAGGAGAACGTCAAGGGGTAACGGCAGCAAGTTAATTGGTGCTTCGTTGGGCAGTGACTTGTGCTTGAATAGTTTGAAAGGAGGTGTGAGATGAAAGGATGTCTGCAAGAGTTGTGGATCTTAACTGTAATTATACTGACGAGCTACAGGGCAGGAGGCAAGGCTGGGAAGCCGGGAGGGCAGGAGGAGCGGAGCTGTGAGGTTCAAGTGCTGCTAACAGGAACAAGGCAGGCTAAAATTTAAAAAAAGCCAAATTGCTTTTAGCTTGGAGCACAGTGAATTTATCACAGTGTTTAAAGGAGCTGCTGAGGATGGGAGGAGCGTGGATTTGGTGACCCGCAGGGCTGCTTGCAGGGCTGGGGCTGTTTCTCTGGTAGAGCCTGGCTGAGTGCCGCAGTGAAGGGCCAGAGAAGAGGCAGACCTCGCTGTGGAAGGTGAATGAGCGACCAAAAGTAAACACAAGGCATAGATTGGTATTCTCTCGGTGTTATTAATTTAGCAATTTTTTTTCTTAAAATAGTGAGTGGGGGATTTCTAAAGATAAATTTTTGAGCACTTTAGCATGAGGCTCTGCTAAAAATAGAGGAATGCCTCCATGCAGATGCTCTGTGGGGTCTCTACTGGTTCTCAGTGCTTGTGCTGTCCCCTGCCCCGAGACGGCTGGGACCAGGAGTCTGACGGCAGCAAGTGCTCATGCAGCCTCCTCTGAGACCCAGAGCCTCTAAAACATCTCGAACGCCAGCTGTGTCTGAGAGCTGTGGCCAAACGCCTGCAGTCTGGCATCTCCATTTCTCTCTGAGCATTAAATAATACATGTCCTGATCCAATGGCTGCTGCCTTTGGAAAACCAGGCTGTGTCCCGGTGCCTGAGCGCAGCGGTTCCTTCCATGGAGTCACCTTTGGGCTGTTTCAGAGATGGCTGTCCCACCTCTGCGCTAGAAAGCAGAGTCCCTGGGGGGTGGCGGGGGGGTTGCCTGCGGCCCGGCCCCCCAGCTCGTAGCCCGGCGTGCTCATTCAAGCCACCACCCGGTTCAGTTTGCATTCGTAAGCCAGAGCAAAGCTGGAGCCATTATCTTGCAGCGCTGGTGGAAGACCTTCCCATGGTTATCAGCAGGGTTTGTGAAATCATTATTTTGGAGTTTCGCATGCGTGGTAGGGCAGCAATGTGAGTAGGCAGGCTTTAAAGTGTTTCCTTAAAACTGAAGGTCTTGATTCTGTATGTTTGCCCACTATTGACACGAGTGCGGTGCTTGCGGAGTGCAGCCGTGCAGCTCCGGGGTGCAGCCGCTTCTCCCCGAGCTGGTCTCCTCGGGCACCTCCGCCCTGCCCGGCACCGAGACCCGGCAAAGCCTCAGTACAGATGTGATCAATGAAGCCGAAGCTTTAGATTGTGCCCGCTACGGAGCGTGCTGCCCGCTGAAACCAGCTCTGAGGAACCAAGTCCCGGCAGGGACGATGCTTCCCAGACCTGTGGGGTTTGAGGGTCTGTCCCCAGCAGGGATGCAATGGAATAAAAGCATTTTGGCCAGGACGTTAATTGTACCCTGAGGACGTGGTGGCCGTCCTTACCTACTGCAGGAACAAGAGGGTCAGGGTTAGTGGAGGGGCACCTGGGGTTTCTGGCTTGAGGGCACATTGTCGCAGCGGCAGTGACTTCAGAAAGGAAAGTTAATTTTCTTATTATAAAAGTAATTTTGTTAAGCAGATGGAAAGATGCTGTTTTCAGTACAGTTCCCAAAGCAAATACCGCCTTGACTGGTGTCTTACAGCGGCCGTGCTGGGCATGGCCAGCTGGGCACGCAGGCAGGGGCTGCTGTCCACCCACGCACCCCCCATCCCCGCCTCGGTTAGCCATGGGTGCTCTGCGAGCAAACGGGTACCCGGGCAGGCGAACATGGGGGGGCCTTGCCGCAACCCCTCCCTGCGAGCCCCGAGGCTCACCCCCAGCTTGCTCCCTCGTCCCTGCTTTCTGCCTACACCAGGGGCTTATTTTTCATTTTCCCAGCAGACAAGCGGAGCAGCTTGTTTTCCCTCTGGCAGCAGCTCCTGTGTTTCTGCTTTTCCACTTCCAGCCGTGGCAGCCACACATTCTTCAGGCAGGGAAAAAACCCCCACAAAACGCAATGTAGTAATTAACTCTGTGGCCACATGGACGCTGCCGCCGCCAGTGAAACCACAGACATGGCACGGGGGAGGGACTTTGACTTTCTGCTCCAAAAAAACCCACCCCTGCGCATTTGCTTATCGTGCACGCTGGAGGAAACGCCTCTCCTGGGGCCGTGCGGGGTGAAACGCTGCAGGACACCATGGCCGTGCTCGCGGCGGTGGGGGGGATGCTGCCATGGGCTGACATCTTTTCTCCCTTCTCCACGCAGGATGGAGACGCGGAGAAGAAAGACCCGTTTGAGGAGAGCGGGCTGACCCTGAGCCCAACGGCTGCTGAGGCCAAGGAGAAGGTGCGGGCCAAGCGGGTGAAGAAGAGAGCTCCGCAGATGGACTGGAACAAGAAGCGAGAGATTTTCAGCAATTTCTGAGCCTTGCTGGTGGCTGCCGTCCGCCGCTCTCCTGCCCCTGCCCCAGCTCGGACGTTTCTGAGGTGCCTACTCACTGTCCTTCAGTGTCCATGTGAGATGCTTTGTGCTCTGCTCTTCACTGGTTGCTTTTACAAGGCGTATTTTAAAGTCCTTTTTTTTATTTTTTATTATTATTATTATTATTGTTACTCACCAGCGATTCTCATAAGACAAATGTGACCAAAGCTCCTTTCCTTGCTTGCTCTTCAGCCCGGCTCTGGCTGCCCGCCATCCGCTGTTCCTATGAGAAAGGACTGGAAGAGTTTAACTCTTGTTTCTTACCTGCATCATTTAGGCTTCTATTATTTCTTTTTTTTTTTTTTTCTTCTTTATTTGGGGTGTTTGTTTTGGTTTTGCGGGTGTCCCAGACTGAGCCCCATGGGATGCTCTGTGCCCCTGTGCAAACGTCTTACGGCCTCGTGCCCCCGCCGTGGTGGGGGTCCGCAGGGTGGGGTGTACCTGGCACCCCCTCCCCGGCACCCCGTCTGCAGCGTCAACTACTCACACGATGGGAAAACGGACAGTGGCTGTAAATCGCTCTTGTTGGCTTTGCTATTGAAACAAAAAAGTTTGTTGTTTTTGTTTTTTTTTTTAAATGAAGTCCCATATGTTTCCAGTTAGTTTAGGAACCTCCCTCCCCACCAGTGACTTCTGCCCCAGCAATAAAAGCCCATTTTTCATCCCCGACAGCTCTGCAGAGGGGAGAGGGCAGGATTTAAAAACAAAACCCAAACCCAACAGCCCAAATGCCACAGGCCTCACCGTTTGCAGCCGTCGATGCGTTTTTTTTTTTAAATGAAGTCCCATATGTTTCCAGTTAGTTTAGGAACCTCCCTCCCCACCAGTGACTTCTGCCCCAGCAATAAAAGCCCATTTTTCATCCCCGACAGCTCTGCAGAGGGGAGAGGGCAGGATTTAAAAACAAAACCCAAACCCAACAGCCCAAATGCCACAGGCCTCACCGTTTGCAGCCGTCGATGCAGCGCTGAGCGCCGGGGCAAGGCAGGGAGCGGGGACAGTCCTGCCCTGCGGTGCGAGGAGCGGTGCTGCCGGCCCGGCTCCGGCAGCCTTGCAAGAAGACAAGAGCCATGGGATGCTACAAAAACTCTTTGGACAAACTTGAAAGCGAGCACAACCCAGCATCTGTCTCCAGGGAGGAACGCGGGGATCCGGCTCTGGCTGCGGGCTTGGCGCTGGGGAAGCGGGGCTCAGCTGTGGCTGTGCCTGGGTGCTGGGTCCCGGGGCAGGGTCCGGGTCCCACCTGGTTTGTTACTTCTGGGCTGGTATTTGATGCCTCCAGCCCGTGAGGATAACTGAGTCTCTGTCTCGCCACTGGGAGGGTGTCCTCTGAAGCCGTGGGGTCTCTGCGGGGCTGGCTACGAAGCAGGCAGCGGTGTGATGGAGTGGGCAGCTGCGTTGGCTTTCTATGGCCTCCTTTGAAAACACCCTGCTCTTGGTATTAGAGCCTCAAAAATGTATCTTTAAAGCATTACAAATTAAGCCTGTTTAAGCTCTTTATTACTTGCCTTTGGCTGTAAATGAGGGAAGATGACTAAGCCGAACTACAGCACTCTCCGAGGTTGCAGGCAGAGGTGTTTTACCAGGGCAGGGTCCCGGCCGTGATGGGGCTGGCCCCCTCCCTCCCACGCTCCAGCAGCTCCCCAAGCCCAGCCGCGGTGGCTGCCAGATATTTCAGCTCAAATGCCAAGGCAGCAGCGGGAAGGGACCGGGCACAGCAGGACAGTCGAGTACAAAACGCTTTCCCCAGCTAAAAGCAAATGGCAGCCATCACTTGGACATCGATGACCATTTTGAAACACGTGGCTGTGATTTTGCCCTGCGTTACGCCAGCGCTGCTGTGTTACAAGCCGTGGCCTTTGGGTTAGTCAGTGTTACGTTCCGGATAGCGTTAACGGCTCTGTGTGTATCTCCTAAGTATTGAGCTAAAAGGTGCCTTATAACATTTACTGCTCTCCTCGGCAGCGGGCTGGGGCTCAGCGCAGCGGTGGGTCAGTGCGGGGCAGGGGGACCGCAGCAGCGGAGCCAGGACATTTGGCTTCACCGTGGGGAGCAGCTGATGCCCACGGCTGTCAGCTGGCTGGCAGGAGAGCATGGAAAGCCTCAGGGGCGAAGGAGATGAGTTCTCTTTTATGAGTTATCTTTTAGGAATGTTGATGGGCTGAACAGGTTGAAAATAATGACTTTGGAGAGGAACTGGTGCAGGTGTTTGGCTATCGGTGTCGAGACTGGCAGCAGGATGACGGCTCAGGATGCGGAAAGGTTTGCCTCCCCTCCAGGACTCTGCCATTAACAAGACACCTCTTCCCTACCCCACTTCAAAGACAATTACCTGCTCTCTTTTTGGCCCCCCAAATATTAGCTTCTATAAATCGGTAATCTTTTGAAGGAGCCCTTCTTTTTCATGGTATGCACGTTGCTTCCCGTGCCTGCACAGCCAAACCCCAGGCAGTGCCCCGGTTTGCGCAGGGCAGAGCGTTCCCCGTTACACTGACCTAAATGCCGCGCTCTCCGATGCATGTCAGAGAGTAAAGACCTGTTTGTAAATACCGCGTTTCTCATACAAGACTGGACCACTGTAGTTGAGGGGGGAAAAGAAGAACATGTAGTTTTGAATGCAGATCAAAAGAAATCAGGTGTGCAAATCTGTACTGATAAGATTTTCAAATCTTAATCTCTGCTTAGTCCATGGAAACTGCTCCTGGTTAAAGCACTTACCGTATTTCTGACATCTTGTAGCTCAGTAGTAATTATTCAGTTCCTGTACATTTAACTTGGAAAAAAAAATCAATAAAGTATAAGGCTGTCAGCTGCATTGTAAAAACATAATGTACACTGTAATGTCAGTAATAAACTTCGTTTTCCCATGTACCGAGTACTTATTTGCTCGTTCCTCATCTGTTTGGTAGGGAACTTCAGAGCGGAATTACAGCCGCCTTTAGCGCATTATAAACTTTGCTTCCTCCCTTGCCTGTTTAAAGAGTAGCTGAAATTATTCCTTTGAAGCTCTACAATGAAGTCAGCACTGCCCTTTCTTTGAAGAACAAAACACAGATGGTGGTGGTGTCCCTTCTGTCAGCTTCTGAGGCACATGCTAGCCTGGCTCCTGTGGCCACTGTAACCCTTGCTGGCACACACAGAACCGAGAGCGACGCCAGCTTGTCTCCTGCCCGCCCCCAGCTCTGCATTACCCCCTGCTCTTCTGCTACCAGGACCCAAAGGTCACTTGCCCAGGCAGTGGCCTCCTCTGATCCTGGCTCATGAAGTCATTCATTGCAGTGCCCCTCGCTGCGCGGGCTAGGCAGGCGGCTTGGCAGGTTGCGTGCTGCCTGCTCTCAGCTGGCAGGGCTGGTTGCTACGGTCTCACGCTTTGGTGAGGTCACCCGTGCTCTCCTCCCCCTGCCATGTGTCGCACAGATGCCAGCAAACCTCATGGGTGGAAAAAAAAACCCCAACAAACCCACCACCTTTATTAAATGTGTATTTACAAGCAGCAGCAAATCCCCTAGGACAAAGCATTTCTCTCCAGCCACTCCTGACGCGGCACAGCCTGCTGCTCCGCCGGGCATGCTCAGGCATTCACACGGGGGCTGGAGCCTTTAGCACTGACACAGCAGGACTGCTGCACTTTGAAAGACCCTTTTTCCTCTCGAGAGCTCAGCCATTGCCAGCGGCTGCTCCCTCCTCAGAGATGCTGAGCTGGCTGCAGCAGTCTCCTGCTTCCCTGCAGTCACGCAGCCAGCCCCGTGCAAAGCACAGCTTTACTAGGGCTCAGCTCCGGGCTGCTGCTGCTTGAGCCAAAGCAGCTTTGTTGCTCTACGAAGACCGGATGACCCCCCTCAGCGTCTCTTAGCAGCTGGGCAAATGTCTTGATTGAGGCATTCGTTGCAGCGAGGATTCACAGGCAGGCAGGTCTGCTGGCCAAAGCCCACCAAGAGCCAGTTTATCTCCCTCCAGAGATCCCTGCAGTGAGAGGGAAAACATGAGCTTTCCGATACAGCTGCTCGGAGGGGTTAAAGAACAGCCCGTGCTTTTAAATGGATCCCTTTCGCCTACTGTCCATTCCTCTTGGCTTCCCGAGGCGCATGGAGGCAGGTCCCAGCCTGCTGCTAAGAACAGCCTTCCTAACCCTTCCTGATCCCTCTGAACGGGGGTTGGGAGCAGAGGACAGACACATGAAGTGCCTGTGGTCATTCTCTTGTGCTAAGGCACATGCCAGATGTGGAGATGCAACAGAGTACCTGTCAGCTGGCACTTGATACTGAAGATTAAGTGTCAGTGAAGGCCAGAATCCAACCATGCTCTGATATTGCTGTGGCCATCAGGCTCAGCAAGGTCCTGTGTAGAAAAGCACCTGGCTTGGGTCACGGTAAACTTGTCAAGGCAAGAATCGGGCATCAAGACCTCCAGGTACCTGCCTGCACTAGTGGCGATCGATACATCTGATAGCCAGGAAACAACCAAGTAGCTGAGATGCTGCTGCTGCAGCTTTCTGGGAGAGGAGAAATGCCTGCAGGCTAGTCCCCCATAAAGAGGAGGGACGCAAAGTGCAGTCACTGAAAATGCTATAAGCAGGGTTGTGTGCAGACGTGGCTCCTGCAGCTAGCTTGAGGGGCTTGGTGTGGAGGAAGGAGGCTGGGGTCTCAGGCCTCACCTGGGCAGCCAGTCCTCCAGCGCTACCCGAGTTTCCTCGGGGTATCTGGTCTCCTTCTTCACCCACTTCAGCCTGTTTGTGATCCTGTGCACATGGGTGTCCACAGCTAGGAAGGGAGAGCCCAGAGTTTAGGTGGGGGCAGACACACCTGAACAGAGAGAGCACAGCCAAAAGCTGCCTGTCACAGCACACCAGGTACAGCGCCCGGCACGGGCTTCCTCCGCGGGCCGGCAGGAACAGGCAAGTGAAACAGGAGGGGAGGCTCACTCGCAGAACAAACGTGCTGCTTTCTTCCTAGGGCCAGAGCCAAAAGCAAGACGGGATGGGTATCTCATACCATGCAGCTAGCGACACGCTCACACAATCTGACCCAGCCTTCCTTCAAAGGTTCGCGTGCTCTGATCTAGCAGGCACAGGGCAGCCTGCCCTGGGTTCTCTTCCTCTCTGTGTCTCAGCTGATGTTACGCAAGTTGCAATCTCTGCCCCTTAGTTTACCCAGATGGAAAACACATTTCATAATACCTACCAACACAAGAGGGTTTGTGAGACTTAAACGAATGTTTATAAAGTGCTTTGAGCTAAAAAGCTCTGAATGCAAAGTATATTATTGTTAGATCAGCAGCGATAAACCTGTCTCTATGGCTAATTGGGCAAAACCCAGGAAATTGCTGTAAACAGGAAGACTTAAGTCTTGCTTCCTAAATCAAAACTGAGCACACAATTATTTGGAAAATAGTTGGCTAGTTTGGCTCCCTCTAGACATCCCTCCCCCACAGAAGGGAGAGAACAACAGACCCCAAGCGCTGTCAAATCTAGCGCAAGAGCCACATTTCGTACAGCCGACGGTCACCAGTGGGGCTGCAGGAGTCAGCTGCCGCCCGCACTGACCTTGGGCTGCGTGCTCGCTGCGGCGGCAGTCATTCATCAGGTGGCACCATTCCTAGCTTTCCCAGGGCTCCTCCTTTAAGCGGCAAATACACTTGGAATATTAATCTGTACCCAAGGGCCCCCAGGCCGGGCAGCCCGCCGGGACCCTGCAGTCGATCGTCCAGCCCCATCTGCCGGCTGCTGCGGGCAGCTCTGCTGCCAGCC